TCTAACACAACGAACTCGACCAGATATATCAGGGAAGGAAGAAATCTAACAAAGCGATTTCAACCAAAGATATCAAAGAAGGAAGAGATCTAACAAAGCAATCTCGACCGGATATATCAAGGAAGGAAGAAATCTAACACATCGATTTCAACCAAAGACATCAAAGGAGGAAGACACCTAACACAGCGGACTCGACTGAAGATATCAAAGATGGAAGAGATTTAACAAAGCGATCTTGACCGGATATATCAAGGAAGGAAGAAGTCTAGCATAACGACTTCAACCAAAGATATCAAAAGAGACCCAACACAGGAGACTCAACCGAAGATATCGGAGATGGAAGAGATCTAACAAAGCGGTCTCGATCGGATATATTGAGGGAGGGTGAAATCTAACACAGCGACTTCAACCAGAGATATCAAAGATGGAAGAGACCTAACACAGCGGACTCTACCGAAGATATCAAAGATGGAAGAGATCTAACAAAGCGATCTCAACCGGATATATCAAGGAGGCAAGAAGTCTAACACATGGACTTAAACTAAAGATATCAAAGAGGGAAGAGACCTAACACAACAGACTAAACCGAAGATATCAGAGATGGAAGAGATCTAACAAAGCGATCTCGATCGGATATATCGATGGAGAATGAAATCTAACACATCAATTTCAACCAAAGATATCAAAGGAGGAAGAGACTTAATACTGCGGACTCGACCGAAGATATAAAAGATGAAAGAGATCTAACAAAGTGATATTAACCTAAGATATATCAAAGAAGGAAAACTAACCGCATATAGACTCCTGGAGAAATAACACAGAATGAAGGCGAACTGGGAGTAAAATATACATGTCTAGTCAGAGTTAAACACATATAAGAAAGAGACCGATCGACATAGACTCTTAACAAAGGATGCCTGCACAAGGTTGAATCAAAAAGGAAGCTAAGCCAAAGGTGAGAGAGAGTGTTGACCAGAGGCGTACTTTCTAGGGATACAACACGACATTGACTCTGAATAGAATGTCGATCGAAGGCGAACTTGTGATTATAAAAGAGAGACAAGCTGTAGGGACTCTAAACACGGATTGCCAACACATGTTGAACTTTAAGAGTTACAAATACGCAAGGACTACAAAATCCTTTAGGCCGAAGGCTGGGTGTATTTCTTCAAGAGCGAAAATCATATGAATTACCACACACCAAGTATGGATACTCAAATACTTAAGAAATAGGAAAGGTTATACACCGACTCTTACTTACACTCTGACGACAAAGCAAACACAGGTAAAATAACCAAAGGCTTGCAAGGGAAAGAGAAAATCACGACTTACTGGGGGGATGGGAAATACCAAAGCCGACTGATGGTGAATCAAAACAAACTCCGCTGGGGAAATAGAATATAATCACCCTGGGCTTGCTGTGGAGATAATTTAAATCTGAGTGCATAACAATCTGGTTACCATGGGTGAACATAATTGGCTTATACTCATGCATGTTTGAATTTTTTTATAGCGTAATGCTCCATATAATGGAAATGCTACGCGTTTTAGTAGATGCAATGTAATGATGCATGTTTAACAATGTACCGGGGAAAGCACATCAATAATCGACTGTTGAGAAGACAATGAACTTCTGAACGATTATTCTTGCACATCTAAACTTCTGTAGACAAAAAGACGATCTGAACATCAATGGGGAACCAAGACTCGGAACCATCAACCTCTGAAGATCGATATCACTGGGGAAGTAACTTCCTAGAGAGTAATACTGCAAAAATAAATTGCAATTTCATAGAAAATCTTGAATTCTGATCAAACTCCCAACTTCTTGGGGAACAAATTCTCTATCTTCTTTTAGAAAGAGCAGAGCTTCGCTGGGGATGGAAAATGTTTCGCATAGAATTTATGGACGAAGATAACTTCTATTGGGGAGTATAGAAATTCTTAAATAAAAAGAATTCTACTCGGACCACACTAGGGATAACACCGCTGAGGGGGTAAAAAAATCTTCACTTAGGGAAGAAACAAATATCCTAGGACAGAAACTCAACTAGGCTTTATGATCGACATTTCCATATACACCACACTGGGGAGACAGAACACATGCTCTACCAAGAAAAGAAGAATAGCTCCACTGGGGAATAATAGGTACCTTGCTTCGACATGTTCTAGAAATTCGACTTCGACTGCGGGTAAAGACTACCTCTTACACTAGGGAGCCAAAAGACTTAGATAGTAACGTCAACAATATTCATTGCACTGAGTACAACCATCTCCGCAAGATTCAAGGCGGAAAGAAGTTTTGTACTGGGGGTAGAAATCATTTCATTACGGATGATGGTTATCCTCATGAGGATAACAAACTAAAATCTCCCTTAGGTAAACATGAGTCTCTTTAAGAACTCTGATATAGGCAAGCCGCATTGGAGAGATAGGGATTGCATCCCTCACTGAGTAGGAGAATACATACTTCATTGGGAGAACAAGTGTAAACCTCACTAGGGAAGCCATAGACTATCGACTTCAAGGGAAGTATACTAAAATATCTGGTTGGTGAATAAAATGATTCTTCTGAGAAAACCTGGATAGGAACATACTGCACTGAGAAGGAGGAATACTCGGGAGAGAGTACGCCTTTGCTGGGGAAAATACTACAAAAATAAATTGCAGTTCATAGATAAGTTTGAACTCTGATCCAACTCCCAACTTCCATGGGGAAAATCCAATATCTCTTTCCAAGGATAAAGAGAATATCGTTGGGAACTGGGACCTTCTGATGCAAGTCCCCAATAAAAGTGACCTCGACTGGGGAATCGCAGAAATTCTTGAATAAAAGAATTATACCCAAGCCACACGGGGGATACTACCGTCGAGGGTAAAAATCTTCACTCGAGGAAGAGAAGGGTGTCTTTAAACCATAAGCTTGAGGTTAAGAACTCTATCGAGAAAATATTTCAACAATACTCTATCACTGGGGGTCAAAGAACCCTAGATGGCATTCATCTATGCACACCGCTCCAAAAGAAATAGGAGATTTGCTCCATCGGGGAGTAATAAGCATGTTGATCAGACACCTCTTCAAGAAAACCTGACTTGGGAAAAACTTCCCTAGGGGGAAAAGATATAAACTTCATAGAGACGATGAACGACAACCTTACCAGGGGGGAATTCTAACCACATAGACGCAACTGTAGCGGTAAAATCAATGAAGTCGCCACCGAGTATTTATTTATCCCATAAAAGGGAAAGGAAAATCATCGAAGAAAAACCTAAAGGGTAAATCAAGGTCTTGCGGCCGAGAGATTGGGTAAGGGAGTCTATTACGCAATGGGAAGGTATTAACACCCCGCGCGTCCGAAGTACTCTACGAGATCCACTATCATTATTCTAATCAAAGGGTGTGTTCAATCTAATGCTTAAGAGTTATAAACTAAGAAGGAATGCATGCAAAGAAAACACCGGGAAAAGAATGAAATATTTACTATTTTTTGCTCGGCTGAGCCCTATGACCAGATGCCTACGTATCCCTTTTAAGGAATCAGAGCGTCGTAGTTCGGCTCACATATTTTGTTTGTCTATATTTTTTAATGAAAAATATAAATATTTCCTTCTGCCGCAACTCGACCTTTGGAGACATACGCGTCCGCACAAAAGTGACTTAACACGTCCTTTAGAAAGAATTTTGAAAGAAAAGCCCAAAGCCAAAAGAGTTTGTGTTGGTTGGTTTTTTTTCGCTGCAGATTACGACTAGTTAATCTCAAGAGAGAGATATTATCCATTTCTCTACTTATTCACGAATTAATTTTTTGAGACTTGAACCACACCAAGGCTTAGAATGGAGGAACAATAAGATCGAGTATAAACTCGCTTATCATTTCCCATACTCATAAAAGGTATGACTCTCATCAGTAATCTTTAAGTGTCTTGAAGTTTGCAAGAACAATAAGTTTTTGTTTTAATGCAAATGCAAAAGGGGAAAGAAAAGTATAAAGGGGGACTAACCTAAATCTAACCTAATGTTATCATACAATGAGTGATCCTATCTAGGTTAGCATGCCAAAGAAAGTATAACTAAATATCCTATAGGGAACATACAATGAGAGTGAAGTCGTGATCCCAATTTCTAAATTGAGTGACTCATCGATCAACAAGAAATAAAGGAAAGCGATAAAATCCTATAGGGAGCATGCACTGAGAGCGAAATCTTGATCTAAATTTCTAAATTGAGTGACTCATCGATCAACAACCAAGGAAACAAACACAATCACACACATATAACAAATGAAGTGCAGAATGCCTGCTATAGGTCTTTAAACAGCGACTTCGAGCGCACACTCTTTATTTCCTACTTCTCATGATATCTAGGAAGCGATAAGTGAGAAAATATATCTAGGAAGAAGAATAATACCAAAAAACAATAATTTCCGCAAAAAGCACAACCAAAGAAAAGAAACCCAGAATACTTCGCACGAGCTGACATCAATAAACAAACAGTCATAGATCGGATATTCGGAATAGGTGTCGAAGTATCATCGATGTGAAAATAAATAACAATCGAAAACTCAAGCATGTCCGCATATCACACACTAAACCTGCATAAAAACTCAAATCTTGACAAGTGGAAGTGAAACACATATCTCGAATAACAAAGTAATCACTAAACAATAATAGAAATTCTAATAAAAATTCTTAAAGAGAAGTCCTAAAATATTCAATACTATTTTTTTTGATGTTTTTATCATACATCTTTTTATTATTAAAATCACAAAAAAAGAAATTAAAACTAAAAGGTTATGAAGTAAAAATATAATAAAGTCATGGGAGTACAATTCATAAATGGTTGGTATGCTAGTAAAACAATACTAGGCGCTGAGGTCCTTTAATCATTGATATGGAAACAATTTTTTTCTACAAAAATTTTAAGCCACACAAAAATAGGATGCAATGGGCCAAAGCTGCCTTTTTGTTCGAAATTGTTCTCATCTGCAAAAAAAAACAACATGCCTAAATGGACATGCCTTTTGGTCCCGAAACATTGGATCTGCATTTGTTATCACATAAACAAAAGAAAATGGATGTTGTTTAAACTAGGGTTCATAAGGGATATCTCTTCATCTCCTTCTCTTAAACAAACCGCGACACTTTCTCCTCTCCATATCCATTCTCCCCTTCACCAGATCCTGACTCCAACTCTCATAATCTCAAACAAAACGCAAAGCCTAGATCTAACCAAAAACAAAATTAAACAAACACATAAACATTTCCAGATGCCAAACCTTGGGGATAAAGCTCAGAGAGACTCAAAATTCATTACAGTATGCAGAAACACTCAAGAAGACAAAAGAAAGGGAGAAACAAATCTTACCTACTGGAGACAAGTCCGGAGCTTCTTCATAGATGGTGAGATTGACGATTAAACCGGAACTCCTTTGCACATATTTCATGTATGAATTCTCAATTTACTCTTCCCGTTTCTTCTCTTCTTCTTCGCTTATTTTTGCCGCTACTCACGCTTTGACTCCTTTATCTTTTACCAATGAGTTAAGGTACAAAGCTGTATACTTTGTGACTTTGCGTTTAATCTTTAATTCTTCTTTCCTATATTTGAGTTCTCACTTCTACCTATTGTTGTTGTAGATTCGAAATGATGTCGTATAATAACGATGGAGATGATGATTGAAGTAGATGCAAAATCGTTGATACAACAGATTTTTAGAGACTGACTGGGATTCTTGTAACAAATGAAGGCTTCTTGCAGCAAGACGATGCTAATGAGTGAAGAAAACTGTGGCTGATACTGATGTTAAAGGTGTTGTTGAGGATAAGATGAAATAAATTAATGAAGAGTGAGGTTGAAGGTGGCTTAGCTTAACTACTATCAGAGTTCAGCATGAATTCTGATAGAGCTTGGTGAATAGAGCGTATGGTGAGGTTGGGGGATCGCAGAGAATGAGGGTGAAAGTTTTAAGGTGATAGAGATAATGGATGTTTGAAGTGATATTATGGAGAAAATGATTGAAGTCAGGCCTCTGTAGAAGGAGAGATGAGAGATTTTTATGGTTATGCTGTTGAAGGTTCAAGCGTGGAGAAAGAGTGAAAGTTTTTTTTCTTGCCAGGTGAATCCTATTTCCTCCTCTTTATCTTCTTTATGAATCTACCCTTTTAGAAATCTATTACAAATATGTTTCCATTCTGTTACCAGTCTCCTTACAATTTTGTTACAGATCTGTTATAGTTTGTTGAGAGTTTGTTACAGTCAAAACTACCCAAAACCCTTAGATCTGGTTTTCTGTTATTCTCCTTATGAATTCCCCTTCTTATTTCTGTTAGATGTTATAGGAGTTAGTTGGAAGACAATTAGGTAGTGTAATAGGTTGTTAGGCAATTAGTTTTAACAATTCTATTTGGGAAGTTGGTTAAAAAAACTGTTAAAGAATTCAGTTATAATTTATGTTATATAACTGTAATTTCTGTCACCGGTAATGCAATCTTGAACCCTAATCTCTGAATTCTATTAGAAGAACTAAGAATTGAGATTGAAAGTTATTTTATCTGAAATTCGGTTAGGCCTGTTTGAACTGTACTCATGATATCTCGTGACAGTGGGCTTTGTGATATACAGGGCTGAAGCATGAAATATGGAATGAAGCCTTGAAGATCATAGATTGCAGAGATGAACTTCTGGAGTTTTTTGTAGTTGTGAAGAGTGAGGTTAAAGATGAGGATAAGATGAGGTGATTACTCAATGATGATGATTGAATCAAGTCTCTGTAGAAGAAGAGACAGGGAAGGTTGATGAAGAACAGAGAGAATGGGGGTTGAAAGAAAGCAACTTCAATGAAAAATAAGGTACCCCCCTAATTCTGTTACAAATCCATCATATGAGTCCCCCCTTATCCAATTTTTTATGATCTCTCCCCTGTGAACTCAGTTTTCTATTTTTGTTATATTTCTATTATGGATGAGTGGCTCGGATTGATTCAGTTATGAATCGGTTCTGCCATTAGAAAACAATTAGGGTAGTTATGTTAAAATAGGAGTTGGAAGTTAGTTATCTCTATTTAGAAAACAGTTAGCACTGCTAGTTGGTTAGTTGGGGGGCAAAGGTGAATTTGGTTAGAAAGTCTGCAAGTCTGTTGAAGCTGTTAGCACCTTCTGATATATTTTCTTGACATGCTAAGATGAGAATTAGACTTGAGTTTTTTCTATTTTCCGTTTCCTGACTTTTTTGAGTTAATGATTCTCCCTGATTCTTTTGAGTGCAGCCAGTCTATTTCATGTTAGAGAGTGAAGAAATTTTGAACAGTTTCAGCCTTAGTTCGGAAAAAAAGTAAGTAACACAAGCTTAGCGCAACTTTAGATTTGACAGACAGTTTGCGTTTGTTTTGAGTATTTCATTTGAACTAATTGGTGTACTAACATTTTTTTATTTCAAGTGACATTCTCCTTGGTACACTTTTGAATGGCTTTGCAAGATTGGTCAAGGGTTTGTGGAAAGCATTGAATTACTTGGACGTGGACTGATTTCTTTTTACAATTAGACAAAGGAAAATGGCATAATCTTTGACAAATGAATTTTTGGCTTCTTTACTTGTAAACATTCCAATATGAACATTTATATGGACTTCAAATTGAATGAAATGGATGCTTTAAATAACATGAATAATTGGAATTTTTGAGGTTGAATTTGGAGTGGAATAATTCTTCAGTTTTGAATTTTCACTCTTGAATCAATTATGTCATATGCCTCAAATTTATCGACATGAGTGAGTTTTGAACTTGAACAATGGGCGCTTGCACTAAAATTATCTTGAAACCTTGATTGATGATGAATATTCTTGAAACCTCAAATTTCAAATGAATCAAAGTGGTATGCCTTTATAACTTGTGTCCCAAGAAACCAATCATGGATTGACTTTCCATTTTTTTGTATACTTGACCACCTTTGACTCTTTTGACAAATTTAGGTCATTTGGGGACTTGAAATGAATTCATTTGAACTTGTAATCAATTAAACCACATGACACTTTCCATATTAAGAAATTGGATGAACATTTTCCAAATCAACAACTTGCACTATAAGCGAAAAAACTTGAGACCATAAATTCCTTCAAGAGAAATATGACCAAGATAATCTCAATATGAACATTATAGTTCAATGAACCTCAATCTTCAATTATATCAAAATTCAGGAGTCAATCCTATTTGAAAGGTTGATGAAATCTTAATCCACAGCTTAAACAACAAGAAACATCTCGACTTGGCGAAAACCATAATATCATTCTTTAACAACTTGACAAGTACCATCACAAAGAAGGAAGTCGTTGATTAAATTCTCTAAATTCCTTGAGAAAGAAAGTCTTATAGAACTAGCATTTAGGAGAAAACTTAAATGTCGATGAGCCTGCAATAAAGATAATGATGATCCTTGTAGCCTTGAGGACGGAGCCTAGCATGACAAACATTTGTTGAAGATCTAATACAAATCTCAAGCATAACATAGGAGAAACCCTAATTCTTTGGTTGAGTTAAACCATAATGCCTTTGTTCCTTGAAGAAACTCTGATGAAGCAAACCTTATATCTCGATGAACCTTGCTAGCAAAGACGTCTATGATGCTTGAGATCTAAAAACCCTAATCTCATACCAAGAATGATAAGAACACTAGTTGAATCAGCTTTAGGTAAATTAGCGACCTCAGTTCATAGAGAAAAACCCTAATGCCAAAGCCTTTGATCCCGTAACCATGGAATTGATTATATGCATGTATATAATATAAGAAGGGATCTTAGGGGCAAAAATTGGGGTATAACAGCTGCCCTTATTTAAGTGTCTTCTATCCGGAGATACGAAGATTAAAATCTTCGTTTCGACGCGATTGAAGATACTTAAATACAAAACAAGCCCTATTTTTGGCCCTAAGATGTCATGCGATGCTTATGATTATGGATGTAACATATAAACTTCATGCAGATGGGAAAGACACACACTGGAGAAGCAAAAGTAAAAATCAACAAATTAACAAAAAGAATTCAACCAGGATAATAAATCTCTGGAAAATCTTGATTTCTTCACAAAGTTCTGTAATTATCTTATTATTTAAATTCAAGCCGTTGTTAGTGATAATCCTGCTTGGCATGCCATACCGATAAATAAGATTGTTCTTGATGAAGCGTACTACCACCTACTTAGTAACATTAGCATATGAAGCTGCTTCCACCCACTTGGTGAAATAGTCAATCGCTACCAAGATAAAACGATGTCCATTAACATGTCTGCTTCGTATCTATCCATGCATTAACATGTCTATCTCGTGCATTAACATGTCTGCTTCGTGTCTATCCACGCATCTGAGCAAGACCATGTCATGATTTCTTTTGTATAGCACACCTTCATTAAGGAAAAATCTACCCGCCAACCTTCTCAAGGTCTTTCTATCTTTATTTGACGCACCCAACGGGTATTCTTGAGTCTGGAGAAAATGCTTGATATCATAATACCAAGGCTTTTCGTTTGATGCTTCCTCTGCTGCAAATACATGGGCAGGTCTATCCAGACATCGTACTGTTATACGAGGCACATCGTTCCAAGTATTCACTTGATACACATACGCTAAAGTTGCCAAAGCATATGCCATTTGATTTTCCTCTCTAGGAATATGATGAAATTCAACTTTGTTAAAGAAGGGTAATAATCTTCTAGCGTAGTCTTTTTACGGGATCAAGCCAGGGTGACGAGTATCCCATTCTCCTTTAATCTGGTTTATTACCAAAGCTGAATCACCATAGACATAAAGGATTTTTATTCTGGTATCCATAGCCGCTTCAAGACCCATGATGCAGGCCTCATACTCCACCATGTTATTGGTACAATCAAAGGTCAACCTTGCAGTGAAAGGGATATGAGACCCATGAGGAGTGATAATCATACCATCAATTAATTTTCAGTAAGCATTCACAGCTCCGTCAAACACCATACTCCATCGGGATTCAGGATCAGGACTTTCCTCAGGCAAAGGTTCATCACAATCTATTACTTTCAAAAACATCACATCTTTATCGGGGAAGTCATATTTGACAGACTAATAATCATCAACCGGTTGGTGAGCAAGATATTCTGCAAACACACTGCCTTTAATAGCCTTTTGAGTACAATATTCAATATCGTATTCAGATAACAACATCTTCCAACAAACAATTCTTCCAGTAAGAGAAAGCTTTTCAAAGATATACTTAATTGGATCCATTTTGGATATCAGCCAAGTAGTGTGATTCAACATGTACTGATGCAGACGCTTTGCTGCCCAAGCCAAAGCACAGAATATATTTTCAAGTAGAGTATACCGCGACTCGCAATCAGTGAACCTTTTACTCAGATAGTAAATGGTGTATTATTTTCTTCCTGTTTCATCTTGCTG